GCAGAGCATCAGAACCCGACCGCAGAGCATCAGAACCCGACCGCAGAGCATCAGAACCCGACAGCGGAGCATCAGAACCCAACAGCAGAGCATCAGAACCCGACAGCAGAGCATCAGGACCCGACCACATAGCATCAGAACCCGACCGCAGAGCAAATGGTTATCCCATCAGCAAAGCTTTTCAAGCCTAAAATAGCATCTCAATGCTAAACATGTTGCAGCACTGCTGATGTTTGCGTCAACAGGTCCAATGAGATCCAGATCTCAACGGGTCAAATAAGGAAAAAAACAAACAAAAAAACAGTCCACATTTCTAAAGAAGCTCCAGGAATGAACATGAGTTTCTGAAACTCTTGAAAGCTGAATGGGAATGACAGCACTGTGAACCAATCTGAAGGTTGAATAACTTTGTTTTTGGGCTCATGTTAATTTGTTCAATAATTTAGCAGCAAAAAGAATTTCTGAGTTGCTCATTTTGCTTTAATATGTTTTTTGATTAAAATGCAAATCCACTAATACTAAACATTATCTTCAGAGATATTGTCAATAACATGTTGTGAAAATTAATTGCATTTCTTTGGTTTTTCAAAAATCACTGGAGTCAAATATTTTCATGTTCCTCCTGATTAACATTAGAAGGAAAACGAAACGTTTTTCCTCAAACTGCTTGTTGATTCTCCAACAAACAGTGAGAACCTCACACACAGAGGCCGAGAGGAAACAAACGTAAAGATCCCTCACTTCAACCCTGAACATGCTAATTGACATCAGATGGAGAGGGATGATCTCTTCCCCTGTTAATGACAAAACAGGCAGCTGTTAATAGATGAGGGTTAATCTACTGTACACCCACACACTTCAACGCAGCACGTATCCATTATCTTCACTCACACAGACAAAAACATGCGCACAGAGAGTCAAAGCAGCAGGATAAAGAAAACGTCTAAGTTCACACCCTCAGATTGGAACACGAGTTTAAGACATCAAAGCCAACAAACAGAAGAAGGAAAATCGAGATTATCTGGGAAAGTGACGATGCCACCCACCATCTGAAGCACAAACTGAATGATTAAAAACCCTGCACTGGCACTGCTGTGAACTCTGACAGAATGGAGGCTAAATGGAGAGGCACTGAGGAGAAAAAAAAGACGACGTTAAAAGAGGATTACAGGAACCGTGCCTAAACAACCAAACTGGGGTTGAAGCAAACGCGCTTATAAATAAGCAAAGATCTTATAGGAAAGATTCCAACGTGCTTCCACTTGCTTCACACAGATAAAACTCGTAGGTTTCATAATTGTCAGCTATACGTCTTAAGTGATGCACTTTCATAGCAGATCAGTGTGGTTATGGCTGAGAGGCTGTTTGTTTGTGTTGGAGGGAGCGACTTTTCCTGCGAATGTGTCCTTGAGCATGTGAGTAAACCTTTCACAATGATTACAGCTCGAAACCTCCTCCTGCCAAACTCCACTGGATTCCTGCGTCTCCTGTACCGACTGCTTGCGTTAGAGCATAAAGAATGAATGTAAAAGGCGTGTCTGTGTGTTTACGTTCTCCACTGTCTTTTGTGAGGACGACAGGCCCCTGGTTGCAGAACGATCCGTCTCGACAAACACCGCTGAAGCCTCGGGGAAGTGGATCTTTGATGTGCTCTGTAATGCACACTTGGAGGCTTGTGAAGAGTGATTCGTTTGTCATTCAAACATAATTCTGACTCAGGCTAGCTGGACTGAAAATGCGGTAACATGCATGGATTTAGCCTGTGCGTTCAGCTCGGCCGTTGGTTGAGCGTTAAAACCCACAAGCTTAAGGCAGGGAAGACGTTTCCCCATCAGGAGGCTGCCGCAGGTGCCGTGCCTGGGAATTAGTTTGGTGATCAGATGCTGCAGTCAAAGAGGAAGCAAGCTATGAAGATAACAACGACACAGCGCTGTCATTCTTCATTCTGACCTACATTTGTCCCTTTTGCACTAATCTTCCCTTTTTATGTTTAAACCGATGAATTCTAATAAGTTCTGAGCACAGATTTAGTCATGCACTTATTGTTTCGCAGGTTTTTATACAGACTCCTGCTGCAGAAAAAACAGCAGTTTTATGAGGCAGATAAATGAAACAAGTCAAGAGCATCAAATAATCTCAGCTTATGTTTTAAAATTTGAATAAGGCAATTATTCAGAGTAGGTAAAGAGCATCTCCTACAACAACAACATAAATCCAGCATTTACTGGGAAGTGCTTCAAAAAAGAACGACTTCCTATATTTTAGGAGCAAGGAGGTTAGCCATGATCAAAACATAAATATTTAACATCTTCTACTTCCCATTTTGTCACTTTCAGAGATCATTATTTGTGCAGACCAGGGTTATGCAGCCTTTACAATCCAAAACGCCTTTTTCCTCCTCAGTCCAACTCAATAAACCTTGTTTAGAGCTGCCAGTGTTCTTAAGAATAGGCCATTTTTAATGAGCATCTAAAATAGAAAATATATTGTCATTTTTAAGGGCCAGTATTTTATTTTTAACTTAAGTATTAACATAAAAAAATACATATAAAGTTTTTTAAATGCTGTTTAACAGCTGTTTTTTTTTCATCCAGTGGGCTCAGTTTGATTAGGGACCAAAATGGCAACATTTGTTGCATTTTCAGCTACACTTTCAGTTCACCTTCACATTTCACTGTGTCAAAGGATCTGAACTCTTTGAGCAACTCTGTCCACCTTCTCGCCTGTGGTGAACCACTGGAAGAAATTACATAAAAACCTCAGAAGACACTGAGCACAACTTGTCTTTGCAAAATGTACACAAAAATGGAGAAGCATCATCGTGTGTTCAGGTTGCATTTACCCAGAAAACCCTCCAATACAGTCCACTTCCTGCTTTTGGATTGCTCAACATTCATACATGCATCTGAACTGCACCAGAGTTCACTTTGAAACCTGGGTTTGTAGGCGGACCAGAGTTTGCTTTTTCGGTCGTCCGAGTTTAATTTTGCATTCATAACTTTCCAAACAAACCGGACTGTAGTTAGACTACAGTTTAACTAAAACGGACTGGTGTGAATGCATCCATAGTTGCACCCATTGGGGAAGACTTGTGAGCTGATTGTTAATCAAATGACACACCACACCATGTATTTTTGCCTTTTGTCCAGCAGCCTGCTGGCCTCATTGATCACCTGTCATTGCTGCATCTTGTTAAGGTGCCTTACCCATTCAGGCGTTTGTCGCAACCCAACTTGGCAGCAACCTGACTTTGACTTCACTTTCGCAGCTCAATCTTTACAGAAATCACATAAAAAGGCCAGAACGTTTCCAATTTTCAACTGCAAGTGTTTTCTAAAATTGGCTATTGTGCTTCATTGGTTGCTCCGGTTTCTGAGCTCGATCACTCCCCATGATTCCCTTGCAGTGGACTCTGCTGAAGATCTTTTATTGACTCCATCTGGCTGCCTTTTTGTTGTGCAATTAAGGCAAACTGTAAAGCTTTGGCCCAATTCCACTTATACGTCCAGCAAAATTATAGGCTGCAAGTTATAAAAATAGCTTTAAATATTGTTCAAAATAAAAGTAGTGGAAGAGGATTCCTCAGATGAACAAACAGATTTAACAGGAGATTTTGGTGTGGCATTTAAAGGCTCAACAATCGATCGGCATACCTGCTCCTGTCCTCCTGGATGTAGAGCGACAGCAGCTGTTTGGGGATGGTGAACGATAGAGTACACTCCTCCATTTGTTCCCGCACCAGCATCCACTTGCTGTCCACTGTCTGAAATCTGTACACCTTGCATACCGGGTTCCTGAACACTGTGAAGGAGCAGAGAGCAAATGAATAGGGCTGCATCTGACACAACACAAAATAAAACACATTCTTGCCAATGGAAATCCTTGAGATAATCCTTTGAAAATTTCGCAAAGTCGAATAGAAAAACTAAACCAACAATGGCAGCTGCCACCCTCAAGGACACAGCAGAGCAGGAAGACATCAGAAGTCTTTAAAAGTCACAGGAGGTATGAAGCACAAATTAAATTCTATAATCAATAGCTGTGTCTGCCAAAGATAAGACATTTCTCATCTTCCGAGCTCCACTTCCTCTCTCTCTTGTTCAATGTCAGCACAGAAAATACACAACCCTCGTGTTGTTAATCTTTGCCCCCAAATCTCCTCTGTTTCCATTTTAATTGCTTATTTATTGTATGACACCAAGTTGCAGGCTGTACAATCATTTTGAAGTTTTGGGTGCTAACCCCGCCACCTGATTCACATTCTGCACCATCTTCCTCCTTTCTGCAGAGAGTTTCTAATAGCAGCAATCGAGGGGCTGAAAACGAAAAACAGCCCTAATGCTCTTATCTGCATGCTTGCAGCAGAAGGCGAGAAAGCTGTCAGCCTTAAACAGTGTTTACTGCTCCTTCTTCCTTTAGCTGAAAAAAAAAAACTCGCTCAATAAGACGGAGCCGAAGCACCCGAGGTGAAACGTTGACAACTTCGTGTCACGATGGTCAAACATGCGTGGCAGGAAGATGTTTTTGCTTTCATTTAAAACTGGGATCCATACCTCTGGAGCAAATGACAACACAGAAAATGGTGCCATACACAACAAACTCCTCATTCAGAAAATTGACAAAGTTCGACTCAAAACTGTAATTTATTTCCACAGCTGTGTGTCATGCGGCGCCTGTCCCATTAATCCTGCTACCTCTGTGTGATGTGCTGTTGAGTGCTAAAGTGGCTCTTGCTCCTGCTGTATGGTTGTTTGTAAGAATGCCTGTAAAAACATTTCTAAAGGTGCTAAACTTTTACAGCGCGCCTTCTAAACTGTTGTCAGCTAAATGGGTTAACTTTATTCACGCTCTCGGTGCCAATAGATTCAAGAAGATGCATCACAGATGCATGCCAGGCTCGAAACGTTGCTAACTCAGGGGAAAATCTATCCAAAGTATAAAACTCTCCTGTCATTGAGTCTTGGTAATAGCAGGAAATGACATAAAGTATCATGATCCAATGGTGGTTGGACTTTAGTCTTTGTTTTTTCCTGTTTATTAACTTAGATGTGGTCTTCAGTCCTATTTGTGTTTTACTTCTCAGTTTATTTGAGTATTAGATCTCTGTGTCTTAGATTAGCGTTCCTTTCTGTTTACTGCTCCTGTCAGTTTCAGATGTTTTTCCTTTCATTCCTGGTTTCCGAGTGTCTCAGCTTTGTTCATCTTTCTCTCTTCCTCAGCCTGCTGGTTTGCCTATCATCCCATCTTTTTCACATCTCATAAACTCACTGTGGGCGACACAAATATGTTCACGACATTCTTACACAATGTCATTCTTAGATAATGAGATCTTAGTCTAAGTTGCTGGTAGCCACGCCCCCACCTCACCGTTTACACGCGCACATGAAAATGGCTGCCAACAGATGCGCAATTGTACAACCGAACATCTTTTAAAAGCAGAAGTGGAGCCTCCTGCACAACCAGCAAGAACTCAGCAGCTGTTTTTTGGTCGACAACAAAACACTTGTCTTTTTCAGCAGCCATTGTACGGCATATGCAGCGATAATCCCAGCCAGTGCTGGAACTTATCTTGGGTTGCTACGTAACTGGCTGGGCTTTGCTGAGGTTGCCAGGTGATGGGCAGTGATTGGTGACATGACATTTCAGAGGCTTTTGAAATGGCTAATTTTAGAGACACCAAAGACCATTAACTTACTGCCAAGAACTGCCTGGGTGCTAAGAATTACTGATTTGTAATGTTTTTTGCTAGTTCCTCTATCCTCTATTTTTCCTGAATTTAGTTTTATTGTTGCTTCCCTTTTCTCTACCTGCCAAAAGTTTTCCTATTTAGCATTCTAATATGCACTAAATGTTCAAACATGCATAACTTTATATTTCACATCACATATGCTGGACTGTTGCATAAAATCCCGGTAAAATACCGTGACAGAAGGTGAAAGAGTTCAGGGGGTGTGAATATTTCAGCTACTGCATGAACCCAATACATGAATCCAATTAAAAGTCTGACTTTTATCAGAAGGTTAGGAGGACACAAAAACTAGACTTTCTACAGAATGTTGGTGTTATGAAAACCTGCACACACTTTAATTAGACTCGGCAGATTTCACAGCAGCCGGTGACACAAACTGTTGCTTTAAAATACAAACAATCTTCTGTCAGGTCAACCAATTATAAGCAACTTTGATCCTCTTTTTAGGAAACCAGTGCAGAACTGGGAAAATGTGGGTGAGAAGTGAAACTTTGCTAGTGACAGAGAAACCTATTCAGACAGAAGGTGTGTATGTGTTTCGTGACTATGGTTTTTAATATAGACGGGGTGTAATGTAATATATTCTATGGAAAATGTAAAACATAAACAAAGAGACAAAGGATTTTATTCCTTACTGCAGTGTTATAAATCACTGACTGCTATTGTTGATTCAGGATTTTTATAAAGTGAAATTCTGTGAAATTCAGCTCACCTGGAGAAGATCCTCAAATTTTAGAAATTCTCCAAAAAAAAGTCAAGAATAAAGTTGTTAAGAGCTGCTCCACTTCCAAAAGTAGGTTTCTGTCATCTTTACATCTTTTTTATGATGATGATTATCTGCACTACTTTGCTGACGTGTTTCAGATGTTGGCAGGCAATTTCAGTGAAATGTATATATTTTTATATATCCAGGCATAACAGTACAGACATATTCAACTGTTTGTCCTTTTCATTGCAGTTCCACAAATTCATCAGTTGCATTGCATGGAGAAAATCAACTTTGAAGTTTGACTAAAAACTCCCTTCGCTCATGTATTTAAATGTAAAGTGAACCACGTTACAGGGTGGAGCAGAAGAGGAGGAAACTCAAAAAAACACAAACCTAACAGAAATAAAGAATAATTCAATAAAGAAAGAACTAACAGAGTAAAAATCAGAGACATAAATAAAGAACTAAGGAACTGATTGAAATATAAGCAAAAACTAAGAATGAGAAAAAACTACAAGCAGTTGCAAAAAAAATTAAACCCTGAAGAAAACTGAAAACAACCTGAAAACAACCTTACAAAAGGTCTGAATGTATGTGTGTGTGAATTAGCACTCTTTACATAGCTTAACCTCTCCTGCACACCTAAAACACAATTGATTTTCACATAACTACAAATTAACTCAAGCAGTTTTATTATTATTTGTATTTTTAAGGCTTCGTCTGAATGTGATGATAGATTTATAATCAAAAAGAATGTTTTGATTTTCATTTATGAGAACCAGAAAATATCTTAATATGTGTGAAATAAAAAGGCATAAAAATGCTCCACAAAACAATAATTGCAGGGTAAATCGACCATAGAAAGGCTTATTATTTTCTCCTGTGCTGCAGAAGATGAAATTAATGAGGATTATAGTTAAGTCTAGCCTCGAATTGACCCTTGAAAAAGCTCATAATTGTATTTAAATGAGATTTATTGTGGGCGTGAGGATTACGGAAAGTGAATAGGATGACAAAACTCAGAGGGTGAGGAAGGGGAATGGAGAGAAAGCAAAGAAAACTTTAAACCAGGGGAGTGATAGCTGCTGACTTCCACTATCTTCAGAGAAGCGGATTAACCTCTGAACCCAGCCTCCCCCTCCTCTTCCCGTCCCACTAATCTGAGCACCAATCAGACGCCTCAGTTTCCCTTCCAGACACCTCTTAAGAAAATGACTCCCTGCGCTGCGTCGTGCTGAGGCCTGTTTCCTCACTGATCTCTGCATGCTCATTTCGAAAGCCAATAAAAGTGGAAGAGAAAATTGCATTATGCAGTCTGGTGGCATCTGCAAGGAAGGTATTGTTTCTGACAGGCTGCAGATGTGCACCTGCAAAAATTGCTGCCATTCACTAGTTATTCACAGCGGAAAATATAAGTGACAATGACACCATTACAACAGGAGCCAGGCTGCTGTGGAGCTGCGAGAAGTGATACGAATCTGCATAAAAGAGAGAGAATGGGTGCTGGAAGGAAAATATTTTCCGCGAAGTCTTCTTTAAAAAACAACTGTGACGTTTCAGCACAGCAGGATCTGTAACCTTTTCAAGTTCTCTCCTTTTCTTGCCACATTGTCTTTAATTTTCTCTCCACACTTCTTGTTTTCATCAGAGTCGGATCCAACTTTCTGTGCAGCCGGAGAATTATTTTCACGCAGCTGGATTCCTGTCGTTTCATCCTTCAGGGAGAACCAAGGGCTTCATTTGCTGACTGCATGCAGGAACCAAGACTTATTAGATCAAAACAATGAAATCTAAAGATTTTATTCAAACAGAAGACGCTTCAAATCGTCTTCATTCAAAGTTTGTTCAAAGGATCAATTTTGTGGTTATTAAATGGAGAGCATCAAGGGAATTTTACCAAAGATGTTTTGGGATTTTAACTACTGCAAAGATTAAGTGGATCAGAATAAAGTACAGACGAATTACAATAGTTTAACCTTTTCTTCCAGGCAAGCTTGAATGGGTTTGAGTTGAGAATCATAATTACGGAGAAGACTTTGTGAAATTTTACCGAAGTAGGAGGAAAAAGGCATTATAGTCTTGTAAAACAGAAAGGAATAGCTGAGTCACAAGTGATGATTGTTGGAAAACGTACCTGGACCAGTTAGAGCGTAATCTTCTCTGTCGATGCAGGGCTGGTCTGCAGGCTCACACACCAAAGGACACTGGCGATGAAAGAAACACAAATCAAAGTGTTTCTACGTCTCATAAACACAAACAGGTTTTGATCATTACCACGACAGGAACACTCAACCTCACAGTTACTAGGATTTTAAGTTTATCAAACGCAATAAGTCAAAGTATGAAAAGTATTCATACCCCTTAAGCGTCCGTACATGATTATGAAGTGGAAGGAAAATTATACATGGCATTGGTAATATTCTTACAAAAGAAAACATTGAGAAGTGTGGTTTGAATTGCTCTTTAACTGCCTGAATTAATTTATTCTAATATATTTTGGAATCCATCTTCTCTGAAATTCAAGCCACAAACCTTTCTGACCATTTCGCTACTACATTTAGAGGATCAAACTTCTGTCCAGCATCTTTGCAAAATACCTCAAACGTAGTCAGACTGAACATCCTATGCTGATTTTAAATTTGGACTTTGACTAGGCTATTCTAACACATGAATCTGATTTGATTCTTTCTGTTGTGTTTTATAGTGTTTGCGTTGGAGCAATTTAATCAGCTTAAATCGAATTTCACTACAGCAAACAAAAATGAGGGAAAAGCGAACATTTGCAATTACAGCATTTAAAGACAGACGTCACATAAAACATGACACGGTAAACAGCTGCTGATGACACTCGACAAATGATGCTGCACCTACACTGCAGTCATTGAGCTCATAAAATGAAAAATCTGTAGGGAAACATTCACTCTGACTTCTCTGAAATGAGAGCAGATCTGGTTTTCTGAGAGAAGAAGAAACACCACCGCCATGTTCTTCTGTTTGTGCTGCTGTTGAACATCCACCAGAATACAGCGGAGCCTGAACTTTCATTTTCATTCAGTTGATTCCTCTTCTGACAGCCAATTTAAACTTCATTTCTCAACATCAGCTGATAGTGCATGTGTGAATCATGGCTTATGGGCTCTGCTAGCAGCAAGAGCCTGTGTTATTTTAGTTTTTTATGCCTTCCTGTTGGTGTTAATCCAGTAGGAGCCCAGATCAGAGCACTCCTTCTGGATGCAATCCATGGGGGTAAACCTTTGTGTCCTGCTGGCCAAGAAAAGGATAGCTCTGTTCTTTATTCTCAGGACCCACAACCAACATGTGGTGAGCCGGAGGAGCCAGCTCTTTGCGGAGATGAAGCAAGGAACCAGCATGGTTACTGAGCAAAGCCAGTCGCCGGTGGTTTTACAAACCGATGCCAAGTCAGAAATGTTAACTTGGCGAGGCCACGAAGGGAGAGAGGAGTTTCCTTCTGTCAATGGGTGTTGTTGTGGAGCAAATACTGGATTAAACATGACTCATCAGTCTGGCATTAAAAACACTCCTCACTCTTTCGTTGGCACAGTTATGCACATAAAAACAGACTTTATTGACCTTTTGCACATCTTTAGATCATTGACATGAACTGATTTTCTTGAAGCTGCAAACTCTAAAATCTAATTTAACTGGTTATTTTATTTAGTGATCAATTATAAACTAAGATTTTATTTTCACTCTGGAGTTTTTTTTGTCAATTTTGTTCATCAGCACAATGCAGATTTTTGTCCATCCATCTATCTGTGGTCAAAACCTCACTCATTAATTAACAGCTTTCATTCCACAAATGAACTGATTGACACCACATTGTCTCCATCAGAGTGAAGGTTCAAGTCAATTTGTAGTCATGCAAAATAGCAAAAAGTGTTTTGGTATTTTGAAAACTAAGGAGCGTACCAATTTAGAACCAGAAAACCTAACATTTTTGAAGGTAGGAAACATAATTTTCCATTTATTTTGTGAAACAGAAAGACAATTTTACAGAACTATGTGGACTTGATCTGTCTCAACATATTGGCAACACAGAACAAGGATTCTGCAAGCCACCTACAGGATCTTCAGCAGAAAAAACGGCAGGATTATGTTTGTTTCCTGTAGGAATATGAATTAAATTTCTGGATTTAGAAGAAAAAACATCCCAAAGTTGAACACAACTCAAAAAAACAGCCAGATCAAGGAGGGCTGTTTTATTCCTCTACATAAAAAGTAGAAAAATTCCTTTCTTTTGTCTGTAACTAACTACAACAGCACCATTTTTCTGTATCTGAGCAAAATTAATGAAAAAATACTGACTAGACGGTGTTCTAGTTTTTTAACCCTCCTTTCAACTAAAACATGTTGGAATCAAGCAAAAGTGTTTTTATGGGGCCAAACAAACAAACATGTTAAAGGAAAGCTAAATTGATATAGACTCACTGATATTATCCTTGAAATAAACTTTTGACAACTAAATAACTCATAAGTGTCAGTTCCAGAATCACTGCATGTCCCACAAGAAGAAAGCAGTTTGTTTTTACAGCAGCTTGTAGAAACGGGAAGGTTGACTGGCATCAGTATCATAATGCTGGTCAGAATTGGAGCAGAAACTGCAAATTTAATATAAATGCTGCCAAAATGTTTAGTCTTTTTTGCAAGTAGTGGTTCAAACTGGTGATAGAGATTTTACTTTGAATCTGTTTGCTCAACAATCTACTTTTTAAAACAATGTAATCGCTCTTCAGAAACTCTCAGCTGAATTCTTTGATTTTCCTGTTCTCCATTTTCCTTTCAAACTTTTCAGCATATTTTTCCATCTTGATCATGAAAATGAAGAAAACAACTTAGAACTTCAGGCATAACACAGCTAAAAAAATAAAAAGTAGCAAAAAAATCTGACAAAAAAAATAAAATAAAAAAACACTAAAACTTCCCTCTTACACTGCACTCTGCATCTCCAAATACAAATGTTAAATTCATGCCTCTGCAGGTCCTTTTAGTCCGCCCCTTGAAGCATTAAGTCTGGGTTTTCCTGATCAAAGCGGGGCTGACAGCTAGCAATCGCTCTCGCTCGTTGCATGTCAGCTCTGCCTGGTCTGAGGAACCATTAAGCACAGCAAGACAGACAAATCTGTCCCCAGAAAACGGTTTTAATGGCTGCATGAAACAAACTCTTCTAGTTAAGAAAGGGTTCTAGAGCAAGGACAACACCAATCAAAGCCTATGCTTTCACACACACACAGACACAGGAACCAAATGAAACCCTGCCCATTGATCAGAACAAGCAGAGGTGACGTTTGACATTTGAAAATCCCAGCGAGAAGGGCCGGAGTCAGAGAAAAGCATCAACAAAAAGCCGAGGAGCGCAGCTGCTGAAGGTGTTTTATCGTAATCGTGGGCAGTGGTCAGTGTGAGGTTGACGCTACTTTGATGGCTAAAATATGAGAGGAGATCAGATCAAAGGTGACTCAATTCTCTTTCTTGTTTTGGGTGAGTGTTTTCACAGGGTTAGTGGGATATTCATGAGAAGCATCAGCCACTCGAACAAATCAAACAAATCAAACTAGAGCCCCCAATCCCAATAAGCCTCCTTCCTGACCCCCCCAAAATGCACAAAGTTTGTGCAGAAACTCCATCTGAAGCAAACCTTCCTGATGTCATTTCCCTTCCCTTGTTCCTCTGCACATTCTCTACAACGGAAACAGCATGCACAGGCGGAAATCTGCTCCGACAACACACACGCATACACTCTCACACATGCCAACACATTCATCAAGAAGACATGGCAGATTGCCGGTGACACTCCAGAGCCTGGCAGGGACCCTCCCTGCACCAGCAACAGGGCTGGGCAAAGCTAAAGCCAGTCAACCGTACAGAGGCCCTTGGTCAATTATATAAGACAGTGATTCATGCACACACACAAACACACGTGCACGTGCAAAGTGAGACAGCTCACTGACAGCAGGCATGAACTACAAGTTTATATGATGCAACGTTGTAATGAAAGTACATCAGACACATCATGAAAGCTGCTTCTCTAATATTTAAAGCCTGTTGGCTCTAAAGCACACATACGTTTGATATTAATATGAAGAATGAAACTGAGTGAAATGAGGGAACATATCACTTCACTTCAGCTCTGACGGCCCATTTGCATGAACTTAAAGTCAAATTTTGAGGACGCTCGCTCTTCCCGTTCTCCTCCCCGATTGAGTTAAACGTTGAGCAGCGTATGGGATGAGAGTGGATAACGAGGGCGTTGGCTGCAGCAAAACTACCATCCAGGAAATGTTTACGGGCAAATAAACAGAGAAGTGGAACACAGATAAAATAAAAGTGGTTGGAAAGATTTCAGATCGTTTCTCCATCAACACGAGTATGGTAATGCCGACGATAAATGTCCGCACGCCGGTTAAATCCTCATTAGGGTTCACTTAAATTTATTTAATCTCATTGGAGAGAATGAGCAGAGCTGGTCTAATCCCAGGATAAGCAGAAGGGATCTGATATGCAGACACTCGTGCTTTGCCAAATAACACGCTCTTCACATTTTATGGTTCTCTCATAAAGTAGGGTGAAAAAGTCTGAAAATACATTCAGCTTTTACAGCAGCAGCATAATCTCAAAAATAAAAATGTTAGGAATCTAACCTTCAATTTGAGAAAGCGATATTACTCTGTCCTCTTTAGCCCAACTCACATGTGAATTATGGGGTTTAATAATGGAGGCTGAAATAACTGTGAAAGACAATTGATTCTGTGTTTGGTGAACAGTTTCTGTGTTGATTTGGAACAGTTACTTAGTGATATATTTTTTACCAGATTTCTATTTAAAATGTGTTAACTTTTCCTCAAGCCACAAGTTTCCAAGTCTCTAGGAAGGGAAACAGCATCACCGATCCGCCACCTTTCATTCGGTGTTTGTTGAAAAATCTAAATCTTAGACTCAACAAACCAGGACAAATATTTCCAGTTAAATCCCCGCTAGAATTCCACAGTCTCCATTTACATTTGTCATGTTAGATAAAGATAAAGGTTTTTTTCTTGCATCTAGAGTCTGATGGTTGTTATTGAGTCTTGGCAACCTCAAAATGCCACTCTGTGCTGCAGTCGTCTGACAATTAGATTTGGAGAGCTATTTTTTTAAATCTCCCTTTCCATCCTCCTCACTGTGCAAGTGGCAAGATAAAATTGGGTTCTCATCCAGCCTTATTTGTCACTATTCCAGTTTTTTAAAAACTTTTTATTTATTGCTCTCACTGAAAATCTGGACAAGTTTAAGCGAGTTGTGATTTTCTTGCCCCCATTTTCCTACTTTCAGAGAGTAACACACACATGCTCCAGTCCATTGGCTAGATCTTTTTGAAGTCTGTATGGGAAGCTGGCCTCTGCATTGTCATATTTATACCTCAATGGTACAAGAAGTCATGAACAGGGGCGGGACTTAACTGTGCATATTTTATTGCCGTCATGATAAATTTCAATTCATGATGTTTAAAGTTTCCCAAAGTGGTATTATTTGTATTGTTAGAATCAATAAATATCAATGCATTTGAAAAAACAGTATTAAATACAGTTATTGGGTGCAGGGTATACATTCTAAAGATGTGTATAAAAAACAGGAATGTTTGTCAGGAGCAGAATTTGTGTTTGTGGGATTATAATTGATATTATGCAGTCACAGTATCGCAAAGTGTCATGATAAAACTAAGTCCATATTAGTCAGTAATCACTAATTATAGGTTCCTTGACATGCTTATTACCTGAAAAAAGTGAAATGAAGACAAAATGGCTACATTTATTTTCAAACGGATTGTTTGAGGTTTAAATCCTTGTTCCACAGACTTGTGCACCAAGTTATTCACAGAAGGTTTTATGTTTGTGTTTCCTGTAGAGTACATCTATAATAATTTGAAGGAAAATCTTGACACACATTTGGCTGCAGTCAAACCAGGAGTCCCATTTATTTTGCTCCCCTCTGATTGGCTGTAAGGATAACTGTAGATGCTAGGTTCTGCAGTAATGCAAATATTTTTCCATCATATGTATCAGTGCATATTAAGATATATTTGATATTTACACTACTAAAATAAATACATTTTAAGAATTTTTAGAAGGCGGTCTCAAGGATTAGTGGCTTTTAGTAACCTGGTTGTGGTAAATTCTGGGATGCTGCTGCGCTGATGAAGTAAAAAGAACAATTTTCTCTATTGAACAATGCACAAGAAATGTGATTTTCAGTGATTCCTGTAAGGAATGGATTTCCTTTAAGGTTTTCTCCGCATCTTGAGTTTAGAGTGTACTGTACCTTCTGTGAGGACGAGTCGGTGGCGATGTGGTCAGCCTCCTCCACCTCCCCCATCTTCAGACGACTCACTACCACTGTTCCTGCTGGGCACACACCATCCGACGACCTGAAAAACACAAGCGTTGAGCTTCTAATAAAAAATGTCTTTTTTCTGCAAAATATAGCGTTTTTCTGCAACTGCTTCACAATGATCAGACGTGGATGAAGTAACTTCCTGGCTTACATTCAGCTTTGAACAGGTTGCACAATTATGAAGCCTGTTGAATTAGCATGCAGCAGCAAACACAGATGCTTTGCTCTGGGATTTCTTCACCTGACAGATTGTGCAGAAAAGTCTGCTTACTGAAAAACAGCAAGAAATTTACAGGGAGCTGAGGAGGGAACATCTTACTTTACTGTTCAAATGGTGGCCCAACAGAGATGACTAGACCTTTTCAGATACTGTAGCATGGCCAATCACTTTTCCAATTGCAGAGCTTGTGATTAAGGAGATGATAGAAAATCTATAGTATTGGCAAGCAGACAGAGGGCTTAAAATGAAGAAAAATGGCCCCTCCACATCACGGCAGCAAGTCTGATCACTTTAAAAGACCCATCCTTAATGTGCTCGGTTCCACTCCAGCTGGAGAAAACGCTGGCTGCTGTGTGCCAGCCAGCGGTCTGAGGGGAGGTAGGAAGGATGACACACGACTGCCCGAGGAGGAAAAAAAATGTAGGGACGGTGATGGAAACAGAAGGGATCCTTTCAAGGCTAATCCATCTTGATGAGGTACAGGGAAGAAGTTTTTAAACACACACAGGAGAAAAGAGGAGAGAGGGAAGGAAGCTGTGTGAGTGAACGTAGGAGGAGGAGGACTGGGAGCCTGAGGAGGCAGCTGCAGGGAAAAAGCGTCTCTGCAGTGAGACACGGAGAGCTTCAGTTAGTGCTTAATGTCTTACAGCAGTCTCACAGCAGAGAAAATAACATTGGCTGCTTTCTAAATCTAATCTTTGTCCCTCGCCAGACACCTGTCTAGGTGTTTACTCCAGCTCTGCTCTCCTCGTTTCCTCGTGTCCTTCCTCTCCCCGACGAAGCCGAAGACGAAGAGAAGAGAAAGTCACCCTGACTTTGATCATATGTACCCACACGTAATCAAGGAAATGGAGATTAACATGCATGGCACTCAGCAGCAGTCCTCCAGAGGCAGAGCAGAGGGGTGATGGTGGTCCTCTACTCTTCAGATTACACCGCCACAATCCACTAATGAAATCCCCATCCGTCATTCAGACTGGCCACAAAGAATTCAAGATTAATTATTTTTTCATTTTATTTTTGGATTTCTTTAAGTTGTCACCAAACGTTACTGCTATTTTCCTCCCACATGCTTTTTGCTCCTCATCTCTCTGTGTGCGTATGCGTGTGCATGTGTGTGGTCACTGGAGCCGTCGCTGATGGCCACCGACGGTTGATGCATTGCTTCATCTGACTGAAAGTTTCAAAACCAACATGGCAGAAGAAGATTCATCGTTATATGAACCAGGTTTGGGGTTTGGAGCTGAACTGGGGCAGAAAGTTTTGTTAATTTGAAAAAGAAGATTGTAATTAACAAAAAAAAAAAAAACCTAAAACTCAAAACTTTTGTCTAGAACTTGAAAAATAAACTGAAAATAAGTTTGTCATTATTTTCCAGTTAAAATTATTTGAAGAAATTATTTTCATTTTCAACTTTTCCACATTTTGATATTTATTTTTTCTCAGTTCCACATTTTAAGTTTCAACTTAACTTTTTTACTTTACAGTTTTCTTCATTTTCAGTCTTTTGGCCCTGACTTTTGGCTTCCAGATGGACATGGGATCAGGATGACAGAAAGAAGAGAGAAGGCTGTCAGCAGTCACGTTGCCTTTAACAAAACGTTGCTACTATGAGAATTGTAGCTCAATGCTTTATATCCACAATATGATTGGCATTAAACCAACTCATGCCAGTGACTAAGTTCTCTTTAAAAAGCTTCTTTGGACAATAGGTGGCATTAAACTGTACAGTGCACAATAACATCCATTTAAGAATGGATATTTTTTGACATTTTCTCATGGGGACATATGGAGGGAAAACTGGTCTTAGCTGGAAAGCGTTGCTATTGTTAGCATGAACGAGCTAATGAGCATCTGAACAAAAATCACTTAAAATCTACAGCTGATCTGTTTGAAGAACGTTGGTTGGAAACATTTGATTGACGAATGATATTATTGTTAATGTGCAGACTGAGCAGCCAGCTAAATCGGTTTTACTTCAATCTAATTTTAATCACATTTCATTGTGCATTTGATTTTAAACGAGTCAGGCACATTATTTAGGCACACTAAATAAATAATGAAAAAGGTAATTAAATACGAGTCATTTTTATTACTTCTGATATTACTGAAATGAGTTAAAGGCTACAATTGGGAAAAGATAATGACAAAAATGTGTTTGCAGCTGTTTAAAGGGGGAGTATTTTCCAGGCACAAAGTGCCATTTTATAGCACAATAAAGTATGTATATTACTTTCAACTGTTATGAAAATGCTATATATAAAAAAATAACTTTGCATCATAGCCTTATCTGACACCTTCAAATCTTTAAGAAGTTCTTCCCCTTTCTAACACTCCCCTGCGACTGAAAAGTAGTTTGTATGAATAAATAGGCGCAGCTTTAGGCACCCCAAATGGCTGCCAAGGGAGATTCAATGATTCCTCAAACTTGCATTTCAGGGAACAGTTTGGGTGGGGGAAAAATTATAACAAGACATAAAGGTAAAAAATGTTAAGTTTCTGATAAAACTCCCTTGCATCATGAATGAGATTATTTTCTCTAAATACAGAAAACTGAGATTTCATTTCTTAAATGTATTTATATTTGTCATGTTGGAAGTGTTCTTCTATACTTACATCCCACGCTTTAAAGTTTGAGTAATTGTTTACAATTCCAAAGCGTTTTTTGAAATTAATTATGAAAAGTAATTGATAAATTGAAATAAAAAAAAACATTTTGAGTAGATTGGCTCACTTCCAACTTCCCTTTGAGAGGCACAAAAACATAAACTAAACACCTGCTCAAATACAATCTGTAAATATTATCTCTGCTGAGCTGAAGAACACCTTGAAATGGGCTGAGATTGTTTGATTTTGCTCGGCCTCCATGCTGCAGGTTTGTCAAACAAACAGTGGTAAAAACAAGGACGGAAACATCCTGAAAACATGAGTGCTCTGCAGCAATAACCCGTCCGTTTAAATAGTTTTGCCTCAGAAGAAACTTTAAAGGGCCCTGACGGTAGTTCTAGTTAAAATCGAAGACCATTCTCTCCTCCCAGCCTTCCGCTGCTCTTTCCATCTGTCGCAGCTGGCATGGAGACAGATTTGCAGATTGTTCTCTCCCTCTAAGTCCATCTTCCTCTTGAATCTAATTGGCCCGGGATCTTTTTTTATGACAACACTTAATCAAATAGTTTTGTTCGAGTGACAAAATAATGTGTTTAAAATGCCTGCTACGAATTTGGCACAATTAAAACATAATTAGCTTTCAAAGAAGTGCCTTACATTTAACAGTTATTTTCTTTTAAAAGCTTTACTTGCAACTATTACCTTGGAACATAAGATGCAAAGTGATTTATTATGAAGGTTTGACATGACTCAGGCATTCCCAATAGTGATTGAAATATAGGTTTAATTAGAGAATTTAAAACATTTTTGTTACTGATAGAAATGAAACAAATTTAAAATATTCTTCTGTCTAAATATGTATTTGAATCCTTTCCAAAAGCAAAATGTGCTACGTCTGTGTAACAACGCACAAGCTGAATGAAAATTTCCCAGCGAACTCTTGACTGCACACAGTCGTCAAAACATGACGGGAAGAGTAATGACAGCCGGCGCCTTTCACTGTAATCTCCATAAGAATGAATTTAACAAACAAATATGACAAGCCCTACAAGACAGATGCGTTTATTCATTTGATAAAGCAGTGGATAAGCAGCAGTGTGATGCTGCATTTGGCAGATGATTGAGAAAGAACTCCATGAGAAATTATACTGAATGTGGCTTATTCAACGCAAATGTGGTTAAACTGAATGTCTTCACCAAAACAAGAGAGAGCAAATCTGGATTCCACTTTATTTCTTTGCATTTTGTTTTCAGGAAAACCTCGTTTTTCTTTCTTAAACATGGTTTTGACATAGTTTTTGGTTCAAGGTTCAAATTTATTGTGTTTAATTTAACAATTAGAGCAATAAGTGTCAAGGAAAAAATTGTGCAACAGGTTCTTAGATGGAGGTAATAATATAAAATGTCAAAAATAGAATAATTGCAAATTGAAATCATCTGGTGGTAGTTTGATTTACTATGATCATAAACACATCAGAGCATCAAAGTTCACTCTTCGGTGTAGAAGTTCACGTCTCAAAAATTAGCTGTTCTCAGTATCAGTGAGATGCTTAAAATGAACATTTCAAACTTTCATCTGAACGACTATCCGCCACAACAAAAACCCAATCTCTGTAATCTCTGTTCAGCAACAATAAAACAGTTTGGAGATGTAATATTTCAGAAACCCCTAAAACAGATGAAAACATCTGTCTTTAACTTTGAGTTTTACCAAAAAAGCCATCAAACATGTTTCTTGGGTGCATTTGCAAAAAAAAAAAAAAAAAAAGTGGGTCCATTGTTCAACATTTTATAGTTGATCAAGAGAAAATTGTCTGAGATAACTGGCCAATAAATTGGTCTTGAACATTTCTTCCAGCTTATGAAGGTTAGCTTTACTTTGGATATTAAGGCTTGTTGTCAAAAATACTCAATTTGTTCCAATTTCTTCAGATAATCTACAAATATTCTAAAGTTAACATGATATGACAGGCAAATACAATATTTTAACGTCAACAAAAATGATTCCTAAAGAGTTAAACTTTAAAAAGAGCAGTTGATCAAATGAAGGATGATACATCCCTCAGGTTCCATGCCAGGTCTTTGTTGGACTTTTAAATTTTTCAGCTCGAATTTCTTTTTTAGGCCTAACTCTTCTTTTGTCCCCCATTCATCCACTTTTTTTATGCACATGCTGCACTTTATGCTGTGATGGTCAGGTACAAAGA